TAGGCTGCAACAAGAGGTCCAATCTCTCCGGACGGAAAACGAGGAGCTTGGTAAAATACAGGAGGAGGTCGACCACTTGAAGGCTGAAAACGCCGAGCTTGGCAAGTATCGCGAGGAATACGAGCACCTTCAGTCCGAACACGCAGAATGCGGCAAGGCCGGAAATACCGAGTTCGCCAAACTGCAAGATGAGTTCGAGCAGTTCCGCGCTGCGCATACAGGATGCGATAGATTGCAAGAGGAGCTCCAGGCACTGAAGTCCGGAAACTCTGATGTTGAGAGGTTACAGGAAGAGCTTCAAGCCATCAAGCTCGAACATAGTGAGTGCAGCAGGTTGCACGAGGAGGTTCAAATGCTCAAGTCTGCAAACGCTCAGCTCAGCAGCCAACAGAACGAACTGCAATCACTGAGGACTGAGAACACAGAGATTGACAACTTGCAGCAAGAGCTTGAAGCCCTTCGTTTCGAGAACACGGAGTTGCGCAAGATGGAGCAGGAACTCCGCATCTTGAAGTCAGAGCACAACGAACTCAAACAAACCGGAACCCGCATGTCAATGGCGCTCTCACGTTCGACCTCAGTGGCAGGCACAAACAGCAGCTCTATTAAGAGAGGCGGTCGCCCCATGTCCCTTGCCAGGTCAAACACTACAAAGCATCCTGCTTCGTCTGAGCCACGCGAGATCTTGGCCGACAGGCTAAAAGATGTCGAGGCACAGCGTGATGCTTTGCATAGTGCTTTGCGCAGTCTCCTTGAAAGGCAGGAGTTCCAGAATCGCGAGAACGCCAAGAAAATCAAGCTTCTTGAGCAAGAGCGTGACCGTCTTCTTTCGTGTTCATCTCGGGGTGGATACGAAAAGGAGGTGGCTAACCTCCGCGACGAGATTGCCGTTCTGCGTCGCCGGGCTGAGGAAGCCATTGACCAGAAGTGGGAGGTTGAGAAGGGCCTGGGTGGCCTCAAGATGAACCTCGATCGTGCCGAGCAGGAAATCACCTCCCTTCGTAGCCTTCTCAGGGAGAAGGACATTCTCATCCCCGAAGGCTTTGCTCGTAGCAGTTACATGTCCACCTACAGCAACGAGGACGCTCTTGTTCCCGTGTCTTCGGCGTCCCTGGAGAAAGCTTACGCAGACCTGCAAGCCACCTACAGTGAAGCTCTCGTCCGTATCAAGGATCTCGAGGACAGCACTGCCTCTAACGAGGCCATGCAGCTCGCCATTGCTCGGCTTGAGCACTCCCTCTCAACCGCTGTGACAGAGCGTGATATGGCCCGCGAGGATAACATCGCCCAGCTTGCCGAGCTCGAGTCCCTTCGCGAGTCTGAAAAGCAACACATTGACGCCGAGCTCACCCTTGCTGAGCAACTGTCCGACTCAGCTCGTCGTGTTGAGGAGCTCGCCCAGCAGGTGCGCGTCCAGCTCGCTATTAACGCTACACTCCGCTCAAGGCTGGCCGATACCGTTGCTCGCGGTGAGGCTAACCAGCGCGTAAGCACGGAGCGCATTGCCAGTCTCCAGAAGCGCCTAAGGGAGCTTGAGGAACAGGTAATCACCGCCCAAACCAACGCTGAAGAGCGCGTGAACCGCCACGAGGAAGAGCTACAGACGCTTAAGGAGAGTCATAACATCCACCTCCTGCGTCTGCGCGATGGACCTGCGGGCTCAGCGGCTGCCATGCGCGGTCTTCCTCCTCGATCGTTTCCGCCCAAGTCTCCCCTCAGTCCCATGTTCAGCATGAGCTTCGCGAGCAAGAGCGACGCCACTCCTCGCACCACTCGCATGTCGAGCCCTTTTTTACTTTCATCGTCTTCTTCCTTCTATTCTAGTTCGCACGCCTCGTCTTACCTCCGACCGCGGGCTTCTGGAGTCCTCTCATCGGCTGCTTCCGAGGGTAACATGGCTGAGGATGTCACCACCCTCAAGGCCCGCGTCGCCCAGCTCGAGGGCGCTCTGATGGCTGCCGATTCGGAAATGCAGGAAGTCGTCAGCCGCATGAACATGGCCCAGATTGAGGTCATGACTCTCCAGGAGGAGCGCGAGGAGGCGGTTCGTCAGACGCGCAAGCTGCAGAAGATGATGGAGGACGAGAGGGTCAAGGTTTTTGAAGAGCGCTTCAAGAGCTTTGCGGGCGCTACGGAGGTCAGGGCTTAGGAGACTGAACTTGTTTGTGATAAGAAAGGAACAACGACAGCAGTAAAGCAAATCAAGAGGTATAAAGGTGACCATGGCTATGACTATAGAAAGTTGAGAGAAGGATGGGAGAGGGGGATACAGATGGGGTTGGGTAGGGTGGTGTTTTGACAAAACCAACCATCATCATTCATACTTTTTTGGATTCTTATATACCACTGATTGCATAGCATTGGGAGGGGCTGATATTCTTTTCTTCTACTATACCATTTTTACACACAACTTATTCTTCGATTATATACTATCTAGGGCTTTTATCTTGGATGGAAGATGCCCGCTTTCAAAAGAATGAGAGGAGATGAAGAAGAGGGAGAAGAGACAGCAGTGAGGAAGACGCAATTGTATTATAGCACACCAACGAGGGTTTTGGACATAGTCTTCTGCGCCAATGTACTATCGTATATATATATTATACTGGACTTATATTGCAACCACCAGACATACATAGTATTGGTCTAGTGGAAAGGTCGGCGCGTTGGTGTAATAATGTGTACGAATTCAAGAATACGAATATGGAATGTTGTCTATCTTCGTCTCGTTCTCATATACTCAACTCAGCCTTCTTTCTCACCACGACTTCAACACCTAAGCCATATAAGAGACATATAACATCTTTCCGGTCCAGTACACGTTCAACTCTGCGGTTTCATTCAATAAACATTCATTCTGAATACCACTAACATCGATCACCAACTCCGTCGACACCACCGTCAGGGTTGGGATTAGTACTACTCTAGTCTAGTATTTGACCAGTACTAGTACTAGAGGTCTAGTACTAGTACTAGACCTAGTACTAATACTAATTAGTACTCTAGTATTTTAGTAGTACTAAAGTATTTTTAGTATTTTCGAAAAAAAGGTATTATATATTATATATACTATAAAAGAAGCCGGTTTTAATGGTATTATTATTTTTAGAAAAAACCTATTTTTCGTAATGTTATAAAGGAAATAAAAATACTAATTAGTACTAATTAGTACTATTTTAGTACTCTAGTACTACTAAAATACTAATTAGTATTAGAAATACTAGTCTAGTACTTAAAATACTAGTTTAGTACTAGAAATACTAGTTTAGTCATAGAAATACTAATTTAGTATTTCTAGGATAATATTAAATATTTTATTATTTTATATAATAAATTAAATTTAAATAATAAATAAATATATATAGAATGTATAATTTAATAATATATAGGGATAAATTTTTGAATTTTATTATAAATCTTTTATAATTTATAATCATAATTTATATTATTAAATTCTTTATAAAAAGAACCTGCTGTAATAAATATAATATATTCATATATATAAAAACGTTTTATAATAATTTTACTATTAAATAATATATTCCGTTTATTTAATAATTAATAAACCTCCTCCTCAAATATATTAATATTTTATCCTTTTTAATTCGTATTTGGTAAACTAATTTATTATAATTGATAAAAAATATATAAAACCCTTGCTTTTATATATATATATATATATATATTAAATTTCTTCAAAGCAAGCCTTATAAAGCTTACCTTGTTTCTTTAACCTTTTTTATTAATTCCAGTGGTATTTTATGGCCTACTTATTCAAAAGCCGTTTATTACCATCTTAATTATTATTATTATTATTATTATTATTATTATTATTATTATTATTATTATTATTATTATTATTATTATTATTATTATTATTATTATTATTATTATTATTATTATTATTATTATTATTATTATTATTATTATTATTATTATTATTATTATTATTATTATTATTATTATTATTATTATTATTATTATTATTATTATTATTATTATTATTATTATTATTATTATTATTATTATTATTATTATTATTATTATTATTATTATTATTATTATTATTATTATTATTATTATTATTATTATTATTATTATTATTATTATTATTATATTCTAATTTCTTATTATATTAAGTTTATAATACTAGAATTTAGAATACTAATTAGTATTTTTAGTAATACTAGAGTACTAAAAGTACTAAAAGTACTAAAAGTACTAATTAATACTATTTTAGTACTACTCTAGTACTACTTTAGTACTCTAGTACTACTAAAAATACTAATTAGTACTAATTTAGTACTACTCTAGTACTACTCTAGTACTCTAGTACTACTAAAAGTACTAATTAGTACTAATTTAGTACTACTCTAGTACTACTCTAGTACTCTAGTACTACTAAAAATACTAATTAGTATTTTCGGTTTTTAAAATATTAATATTTTATATAATATAAATATATATTATTATAAAGTAAAAATCGTATATTCTAAATCTTTAATTAGATTTTCGATAATATTTTTCTTAAATTATTTATACCTATATTTATATAACCGTTTTCAAAACCTTAATTATAAATTAAGTAAAAATATTTTAGTATAAAGAAAAGTAGTTTTGTATATAAATATTTATAAAGAATATATACAAATCGAAAAATATTATAAAATATTGATTTTCAAAAATTAGTATTTCTAGTATACTAAAGTCTAGTACTAGTCTAGTACTAGTACTGGACTAGTCTAGTACTAGGGTAGTACTAGTACTAGTACTAAAGTCTAGTACTCTAATACTACTAATTAGTACAGTACTAATTCCCAACCCTAACCACCGTTCTCCCACAAGATATAACAACGAGAAACACTTCCCAGGAAAAGCTGTATGTACTCTGCAATTCTTATCAACGTCATAACCGAAAGAAAACATAAATAAAAAGACAAAAGACAAGCCGGCGTCAAGATCCAACGTGCATGCAAGGAAGCCAAAAAGTGGAAAAAAAAGAGTGGGATTGCCAGGAATCGAACCTGGGTCCTCTCGGATCGTTGTATTATAAGAAACCACAACGAGAAGTACTGACCACTATACTACAATCCCTGTTATTGAAGATATGTCGGTAAGCTGATGCTTATATTCTCAACTTTGGCCAGATAGTTACTCTACAATGTACTTTTTCTTTCCTGGCTTGCTTCAAACTTTCTCGCAGTTTAACCCGGCATGTTCTTTTACTACCTCGGAGCAAGCTTCTTTGTTGTGAAATATTGTAAGATAAGAGTTCGTATTGATATTATATTGGTGTATAGTTGTAAATTAGTCGTTTTCTGGCATGGGATTGTTTAAACCGGGTGAGGGAGTCTTCTCTCTAGTCCAGTGTTATAAGATAAATTTAATAAAACACCACGTTAAGCAGCAATCTACAATGAGTAACACAACACGCCCAATCAAGCTTTTTTCACAATAAGAACTTGGAACTCTTAAAAGGACCTCTCCGGCAAAAATCAATTTTTGCCATCTTGAAATATTGGCCTTATTGCTCATTGCCTGCGAATGACAAATGAAATACGTTCAGTTGGTAGTATCCTAAATCCTGGCCTCGCACCTTTCTATATCCAAAAAGATCCCCCCCATCTAAAATTGTGCTCAGATAACAATGTGGAATTTGAAATTACACCCCAGAACGGACGACTGGTCACTAATAATACGATGTCACAACCGGTCCATTCCCAAACACAACCCCCGAATCCTTCGTATCCTCTCTCCCAAACACTGCTCCCTCCCTTGGTCCAACACCAACACCAGAGGCACCACAAGCCGCCGCCGTCACCGTAGCCGTAGTCACAGTCGTAGGACTCACACTCCTTCCCCCACCACCGACAATGATCTGCTGATGCTGATGCGGGTGTTGGTTCGGGTACTGGGTATGTTGATGTCTAGAAGACATACTCCCCGTCTCACCAACGTTACCATCCATGATGCTCCCACCTCCCACATGATCAATAACCATTTCCCTCGTCAGTTCCACATAGTCATACGCGAACTCGCCAATCTCCGAGTCATCTATGCCCAACACCTCTGCTGTCTCGGAGACACGCAAGCTCATACCGGGAATGTGGTCTAGCGCAAATACGATGATGGCCGTCATGACAAAGGAATAGACACCTCCAGCAAAAGAGCCGGCTAGTTGGAAGATGGGCTGCTTCCAGTTGTGGTCGACCCAGCCGCCGTCGATGACTGTGACTTGGTCCAGGTGAGCAATGTGCTTGCAGGCAAAGATGCCAGTGAGGATGTTGCCGACGAGGCCGGCGACGGTGTGCACGGCAAAGGTGTCAAGGGCGTCGTCGATGTTGCAGAGGAACTTGATCTTGGTGCCGTAGTTGGCGAGGGCGGCGCCGAGGATGCCAAAGGGGACGGCGGCCCAGACTGGGACAAATCCTGCATCATCATATGAAACGCTTGTCAGTCTTGTTCAGAATACAAGGAAAAAAGAACACAGAATAACTCACCACTCCCAGGCGTAATAGCAATCAATCCAGCCACCACCCCGAGCAAAACCCCACAGCCGACCACTTCCTCTCCAACCTATGATCCAGCACGCACCACGTTATCCCTCCCACGCACGCCGCCAGGTTCGTGTTCGCCGCCGCCACCACCGCCCTCATATTCGCCGCCAGCGCGCTCCCCGCATTGAACCCAAACCAGCCCACCCAAAGAAAGACCGTCCCAATGACCACACTCGCGACATTATGGGGTCTGTAATTCAGCTCGTGCGTCCCATGCCCCTTCCTTTTGCCCAACACCATCGAATACGCCAGTGATGCACACCCGCCCACGATATGAACGGGTGTACCACCGCCCCAATCCAACACACCCATGGCATACGCCCACCCTCTGTTCCCATGCGGATTCCACGTCCAGCACGCAACGGGATCGTAAACAAGCGTGGCCCAAACAAACATGAACACCACACACGGCAGCAGCCGTCCCCTCTCTGCTACCGCGCCAGCCGCCAGAACGACGGCCATGGCGCTAAAAAAACTCTCGTAGGTAGCAAACAGCAAGTCCGGGATCTCGTGCGGGAGAGATTCGACTTTTCCGTCGAGGACGTCAATGTAAAACGCGTTGGATAAAGTGCCGACGAAACCGGATTTGGTGACGTTGTGGGAAAAGGACAGGGAGTAGCCCCAGATGAACCATTGGATGCAGGTGACGGCGCAGGCGAGGATGGAGAGGAACATGAGAGATAGGGCGGATTTGCGACGGGAGAGGCCGGAGTAGAAGAAGCCGACGCCGGGGATCATGAGGAGGATTAAGGCGGTGCAGAGGATGAGGAAGGAGATGTCGCCGTCGTGATAGAGGTTGACTTCATGGTTGGTCTTGGGAGAAGAGGTGGCTGCTGCTGCTGCTGCTGCTGCTGAGTGCGTTGAGGTGGCTGATGATGAGGCATGGGGTGTTGACGTTGCTATTGATGTGGTGTTGGTCGCCATGACTGGCAATGGAAAAACCCCGAGACGGTCCGTCGTCGGTCGGCCAGGAAGGAAAGTTGATCAGTCAACTTTGTGGACCAAGGTCCGTAAGAAAACAGAAGTGACAGTAGAAGGGAGACCATGAATCACTAGATAGATAGAAGTGAGTGATATTCTTTTGAAACATTCGACTTTCATCAACGACAAACAACCTCCAGCCAGCTTACGGGTCATGCCGAAAGGCAAAAAAAAAAAAAAAAAAGCCATCCATCATTAAACTAAAGGGATAACCAGGGATGCTAGGCAACATCATATTCAAGCCCAATATGTAGGATACGAACAAAATAAGAAGAACAAGCGGAACTTGCCACTCTTCCTTGCTAATCGAGGAGAAGGACGTGATGTTGTACAACGGCCGAATGCACACAAAGAGACTAGTTTGAACGCAGAAAAGCAGGGTATTCTTAGCAAAGGCAACGGTCCGTCAGCATAAGCATTGCACGTGGTCATAAATGCAATAACGGCTCCTGAATCAAAGAATCTTTCGAGAAGAACAAAAGGAAGCGGTAAGTTCCAAACAGCCGGGACTGGGAAGGGGGTTATTATACTTGCCGAATCTGTGTTATGCTTAATGTTGTTGTGCCGTGTTTGCCTGCCTTATTCTCTCCCTCGCATTGAAATACCCTGGATGCTTGGTAACGTGCTGGTGTGTTGGCTTCAAGGCTTCTTTAGTCGGGACTTGGATTTCTGCGTTGCGATCTGTCGATGATTATTGGCGGGAAGCTTGACAGATTGGCCGCGAAATTATACTCAGAGATGAATAGAGCTAAAAGGTTGAGACCCAAAAGTTTAAAGAACAGATTTGTCCAGGTGAGATTGACGCATGCGGCTTAGATGGTCGTCTGATTTCTCATGTCAATTTGTGTCTGGCCACAAGACAGTGTGCGGATAGCGTAAGTGGAAAGATGTTACCGGTTGACGATGAGAGAGCATCTGCCGGTTAGTCCCGACCTTGACAGCTGGAGTCGCAATTGCCTTCCTTTCCTCTTCATCCCAATTGGGTCTGAGTAAAAGTCGAAGGTGCAAACAGCAGACCCCAGAGTACAGGTTGGTAATTGCAGCCGTCCAGGGAAAGTCTCTTGATTGCGCTTTCCTCGATGGGAAAAGGCTGAATCCAAAAGGCAACCACCATCCATTGCTCTTTGCCCCAACTTGCTCATCAACGAGGGTGAAACGAGATCGGATAAGCGTCAAAAATCGTCCTGACCGAAATCAACCGGACTCTCTTCAACCAACATCGCCCCCCCTCGCAGTCCCTACCATACCCAATAACTCCCACCTCTTCTTGCCCCCCCTCCACCCTATCCCCTAAAAGAAACATCAAAAATCAATCACTGTGACAAACTCCCACCCGTACTCACCTACCTCCTACCCTCCTCCTCACCCACCATCTCCACCATCTCCACCCCGCTCACCCTCCCCCCCTCCATACTGACAACCAAATCTCCCTTCCTTTCTTTCATCAACACCTCTCTCACCCCCTCAACCTGATGAGTAACCATGACAACCGTATACTCCTTTCCCACAAACTCCTTCCTCACTACCTCCAAAACTTTTCTTTGCGTTTCTTCGTCTAAGCTAGCAGTGATCTCATCCAGCAAGATGATAGGTTGCACGATATCGGGGTTGCGCCATCCTGGCGCGCAGCTAAGCGAGGTGATAAAGCCCGGGTCCATTTCCTGTTGTCTTTCGCCTTCGATGGCGAGATGGGCTTGGCGGCGCATGTGCCGGGCTTTGATGATGGCGCGCGAGAGGGAGAGGAGGTGAAGGTTGCCGGTGGATAGAGTAGGGAGGGAGGAGAGGGGGGTGTCGAGGGTTGAATGTTGTAGTGGTTGGGAGCTGGATTGAGTGGTGGTAGGTTCAGTGTAACTAGTGGTAGTACTCTTGGGAACAGAGAGGGTGGTGGTTTCGTTCATGGGTCCGGGTTGATTTTCTGGATTCTGGGAAATATTTGAGGTGGTGGAAGACGATGAGGAGAGGTGCGACCATAAGTCGAGCATCTGAAGGACTGATATCAGATCCTCATCCGAAAGCAGACACGTTGGGTCCAAGTTAAAGCGCAAGGATGCCTCGGGCAAGAAAAACGGGTCTTGCGTGACGGTGATCAATGCCTTTTCCCGGATGATGTCAAGAGGTGCTTCGCGAATGTCTCGATACTCTATTTTAATAGACCCATCGCGGATAGGGATGAGGCGAAGCATCGTCAGGAGGAGGGAGCTTTTCCCGCTTCCTGTCCGCCCGCAAATGACCACCACCTGGCCGTAGCGAATGTCAAGACTGATACCCTGAAGCACCAGGGGGCCGTCGGCCGTATATGATGCAGAGACTTCTTCAAGCCGAACAAGAAACCCCATTCGGGGTTGGTAAGAACGAAGAAGGGAGGGCCATCCAGTGAACGGTCTAGGCAAAAAGCTGTAGTAGAGAGATGAGCTAGTGACGACAGGCTCTTTTGGCGTATCTTCCTCCACGCTCTTCAGTCGTGAGATGGCACCGAGGGAGACTTCCAGGTTCGTCCATGAGTACACCAAGCTCAGGAGAGTGGCATTGGCAGCGATAATGACTGACAAGGCCACA